TTTGTTAATGTGAGATGAGATACGGGCCTGATGGCTATCAACGTCCTGGTCTGTAGAATCGTTTTGCAATTTCACATCTAATTGTCAAATTAGAAATATGTTCTCTTTTTTTATGGATAGGATTCAACAACTTGTCTTTCCTTTTGTCAATTTTTCTACCGTATTAAGCAATTATGGGCTTATTGTGTAGGTAGCGATGCGACTTATTAAGGGTCTACATGATGATTATTTTATTTCCTTCAATAGATGATGGTGGCGGGAGGATAAAATAATTATTGGATCGTTATCAAGTTTCCATTACACTAAAAACTGTTGTTGTATGTGTCCAAAAGAGCGGGTATTAAGTCTGAAAGTCCAGTGTTTATTTTCTTTTAGTTCTTAAAACCCAACTTATTAGAATCAAACCCAAGATCATGATTGAAATCTACCAACTCTCTGGATCACTGGTGGTGAATAGAACTATAGCGGTGGTAAATATTTTTTTTTATATTTAAAAAAAACTTATGAAAATCTCTATTTTAGTCAGGAGTCTGACTAAAGCAACGGAAGACAAAGTCGACATTGACCTCCAACTTTGACTCCATCCCTTCCCGCCTGCCAATTTTTCCCACCACCGGCCATCTGACGTGGCTCCTATCGCGTTCACATCCACCCACGTGTACCTCACCTCCTCCTCCTCCTCCTCCTCGCTCTCTCTCTCTGTATATTAACTCCGTTCTCAATCTCATCCTTCCCATTTCCTTCACAAAAACAATTATTTTACGAAGTTACAAAATTAATTAGATAATTATTCGTTTTGAGCTAAAGTTTTGAGGAGAATAAAGATGCCTTACTGCTACTTGAGCAGCGGAACAAAGATTTTCTACAGGAGATACGGCCATGGCAACACCAAGGTCCTTCTCATCATCGGTAATCAAATCGAGAAAAGCTATTCGCTTTCCTCTGAAAGCTTCGATTTTGATGAAGAATTTATGAGTTTATTATTATTTTTTTTGGGCTCAGGACTGGCGGCGACCCATGAGGCGTGGGGCCCACAGATCAAGGGGTTGACCGGATCCTGCAATTAATTTTGTTAGTTTTAGAAGCTAATTGGGGAAATATATGTTATCGGGACAAAAACTATCAATGCCCACCAAATCTTTTGTGATTTACGAATTGGGAAAGTTGTTCTCCCCAAATTTTGAGGATCATGTTGTCATTTTGTCTTTCCTATGCCAGATAAGTCTTTTGGTGAATCTGAGATATCCTTATTCAAGCAAATACATAATTATGCTAAAGCATGATTGGGCAAAAATCATCAACATATGCTGAAGTCTGAGATATCATTATTCAGGCAATACCTAGTTATGGAAATTGCATATTATGTTATTGATCACGACGACCGATCATGAAAATTACGACAAAGTATGTCTTATCTCAAATCCGTTGATCTATTTTGTTAATTTTACAACCTAACCGAAAAAATATATTATTGGGACAAAACTGTCAGCGCACACAATATGTATTGTGGTAAAGCCTCTACAACTAAGAAAATTGCTGCTCTATGTAAAATGAGGTTCTTATTCTTAAAAGGAAGATAGTTTTTGGGTAAGTTTGAGATTATCATTATTCGCACAATACATAATTGTGGAAATTGATTCGTTACATTTGATGGTTTCAGGACGACCATCATGGCAAAAGATGCATTGGCCTTGTTGGATCATTTGCATTGGAGTAAATCTCATGTTTTTGGTCACTCCATGGGTCAGTATTATTCCCTCTTGTTTTCTGTCTTTTTATTAATTTTGCTCATTGAGATAACTGTGGTGTTGAGACTTTATAAAAGACTTGAATTTTCTAAAGTTACCACGTGACAAAGTCTTTGATCTTCTGTTAACATATTTGGAATCGTCCTCTGATGATTTTATATAAAAACAGGTTCTATGATTGCTTGCAAATTGGCAGCGATTGCACCTGAGAGATTACACTCTTTGGCCTTGCTCAACGCCACTGGGGGTGGGTTTCAGTGCTTTCCCAAGGTGATTAACTTAAATAAGCTAATTGAAATGATACCGATGATATGCCTCTAAGATCGTTGATTGCTTAAATGCAGCTAGTTTCTGTTACAATACTTTAGATCGCATCTTTACTTTGACCTTTTATAAGCACAAAGTGTCATCACTTCTTTATAGAAGTTTGACGATGTAATTAAACACCATGGATGACAAAGAAAACAGACAAACAAACATGAAAAATCTCCGTGGTTCAACAGCTTTCCTGCACTCACTGGATGGTTAGAAAATATTCTCGTATTGGGGATGTCTTATAAAGTAGAAAAATCTCCCTAAGGAGTTCTCAAATGATTTTTAATTCAATGCTTCAGAGCATTTTCTCCAGGGGATATTTATAAGCCTATTTCCTCCTAGTATTCGAGCTGTCCTTTGCTTTGAGGAGCCCTTTTCGATGTTGAGTTAATTCAACATTGACTGAAGTAGTTCAAATTGGTAGCTGAATTATACGAGTCATAATCATATTTGAATGCCGATCCCGGTGGAGCCTCAGAAGACTCGCGAGAAGAATCTCATTGATCAATAGATGTGATGCCAACTTCTAAAAGTTGTATTCAAATGTTGTCAGGGTTGACATGAAGCTATGTATCAAGCCTTCATGCTTTGGTAGCTTTTTGATTGATGCAGACCATAGTCAACTTTTCTATCTTGCTCGAGCCTCTATTTAGATTATCTTGTTCACAAGCTTTTGCGGATAAATTATTTGTTGAAAATTGCCCCAAATGTGGTCGCACGGTTCATATGCTTATAGATAGAAAGTCCTATTTCTGTGCTATTGCCAGTTATTAAATACAATCTAGGATGTTTCTAAAAGGATTTTCGTAAACAACGTGAAGATGCTTTGATAAGTTGGCCAGGAACGATTGTAATGCTGATAGTTCTGGAAGCAATCTGTCGGTTCACTAGTACCCCAATTGATGTGTTTAAGGTGATTTTCCTTTCTTTATCACTCTCATGGATAATTCTAGAATCGTTTTCAGCGAAGTGCCAATAGTTTGGTCATTTGAGAAATTTTTTCCCCTTTTTCTGCCAGTTCTCTGCTATTTGGTTGATGGAAGATTCTGGACATTCCTTTACTACCTTCACATTATTACTATAAACTCAGAACTATAGCTTCAACATTAAGTGTATATTTTATCGCTAAATTTCTTCTTTTTTTATTGTTTTTAACTGTAAATTCACTCTGTTATCCTTCATTTGTGTTTTTCTGCAGTTAGACCGCCAGATGTTGTCCCTCGTCTACCGTTTTCTAAGAGCAAAGACTCCTGAACAAAGAGCTGCGGTTGACCTGGAAACTCATTATACAAAGGTCAGTAGATAAATATATCTCTACTTTAATTTTTTTTTGTTTGTTGCATGGCAAGTTTAATAAAGAGGATAATTTTGATGATTCTTTTTATCGAATCGTCATACAAGTTCCATGGTTTTTGAGGTGAATATGTTCAAGTAGTGCTTTTATGTCAATCTGCAGGAATATCTCGAAGAAGAAGTTGGTTCAAGCACAAGAAGGGAAATTCTCCATCAAGTGAGGCCCATTAAGCTAACATATGGCTCATGCATTATTATTTTTCTTAATAAAAAGATCTGTGCATTATTATTATCATCATTCTTTTGCTGTGTAATAACGATGGCATCATGTTGGCATCATCATCAACCTGAATCATTAATTGGTTAATATATGAAAACATTAAAACAGACAGAAGTTAAAAGATGTCTCGGAAAATGAAACGTTTTTTTTAATCCAGGAATATGTTAAAGCCATAACATCATCGGGGATGCAGTCGAGCTGTGGATTTGAAGGTCAAGTTAGTGCATGTTGGACACATAAACTTACATCAAAAGAACTTGATACAATACGTTCAGCGGGGTTTCTGATATCAGTTATCCATGGCAGGTGTTAGTTTGTAACTTTCCTCCTCCCCTAAGAAAAAAAACTCCTACAGAGGATCCTCTTTAGAAATTATATTTAGGGAGGAACTTATTATTTATCATCCAACTTTATGATTTGTGCTGAGGGGTACCTCCATATGTGTTTTATATAAAGGGCCATCTGTAGGAATTTTTTCCTCAGCGACTCACACATTCTTGTGATGTTATGTTATGCTATTTATAACATTGAAAAGGAAAATTTATCTTTATTATTCATAATTTTGACAGGTATGATATCATTGCTCAATTATATCATGCAAGGAAGCTAGCTGAGAACTTGCAACCTGCTGCAAGATTGGTAGAACTCCACGGAGGACATTTAGTGAGCCACGAAAGACCTCATGAGGTAAGTTTTCTAAATTATTAGTTTTCCGTGATATTTAGTATGTTTAAATTTAGGCTTTGAAAAGAGGATAGCTTTTCCCAGAAATAAAATGACAGTATCCAGGAAAAATGATAACAGTTTTGAAACTCGTACACTTTTGAGAATTCAACCCATTTTCCCTCCAACTATTTTGTTAACATTGTGGGAATTAATGCAATAAGTAATTTATTACTACGATGAACAGATATAGTTTGACTGTTTATTTCTTTTTGTTGTTCGGTCAGGTTGGCTCAAGCATGAGAAATAATTATAAACAGTGGAAATTATCATATATCATATATCATATATCGAGATCAGAATCTTGAAATTCATGGGTCCTTGGCTAAGATGCGAATTAGAAAAATGGGAACATGGATACAACACAATATTCTTAGGGAGACGCTAAATTTTCATGACCTAATACTTTCTGATTGTGACACAAATGATATTATAATATACAAGAGATGCTAAAATTTCATAACTGAATACTTTCTGAATGCGACACAAATGACATTATAATACAAGAGGAATATAGATAAACATACATGTACTGCCTCCAGTTTTCATCAAACTTAATCAAGCGAAAACATAGAGAATAAATTAGAGATCAAAAGTTCAAGTTTTCTATAATGTAGGTCCTCTGATCAAACCAGAACCAGGAAAAGAAGCGAAAGATTTATAGTTGAAATCATGAACACAGTTCACAGAGAGGGCAAAGGCGTCAATATTTTTTATGTAAACGTCTCTAACATAACTAATTATATACATGTGTTCAGGTTAATCAAGCTTTGATGGCGTTGATAAAAGCAACAAAATCAAAGCTTAGGCCAGAGGACTGGACAAATTTAATCCAGACAAAATCTGGTGAGTATAGAACAACAATTTAGTACCTTTTTTCCCTGGAAAAATGGGGTTCAGAGCTCATAAAAGTCACCTTCAATCAGGATGGGCTATGGAAGGGACATCAATGGCAGTGAATATTAGTAGGACTAGTGAGGGAGCAAATTATGTTGCAAGTTTCTGTAATTTACTAGGAAAGTTACAATTCAGCTTCCTTTACATTATAGGAGTATTTGTAATGGGCTTCAAACACTTGAAGACTATTGCGACGGCGGCTAAGCCAGTCAGAGTGTCAGCCTCCAGCTAATAAGGTATTCTTCCATTCATATACTCGAGAATCTCAAATTTGTAAGCTGACATTTTAATGAACATGCAAACTCCTACTGGTTTTTGCAGGATTATGGAAATAGTTCGCAAAATTTGTTATAAAGAATAACAAGTGAATGCTACAGGGGCTGGACATTTGCCTATGAAGGAGAAAAGGCAATAGTCTTACAGAGGCAACTGCATGAGTACATAAAACTTGGAAAACTCCTGTTGTGATGTACTCCAACAGCTATTTATTGTTGGTCTACAAATTTTCCAACAGAGATTTGTACTATCATATGATTACAAAGTTGTACCAGGTGTATCTATTCCTCTGTACAAATGGGAGAACCCAAAATTCACTATTCATGTTACAGTAGCATTACTGTAGTAAAACAGGAACAAGATCTATGTTGTTTTTTTGAAAAATGTTACTTAGTACATTGGAATATTGTAGCATTTTTGAAAAACCTATAGCAGAGCGGGATAGTGTAGTAATCCAAAAAATGCAAAATATTATTGTAGCATTTACAACCGGGATTATTGTAGCGGAAAAAAATGATGTACTGTATGTTGTGCTTTGCACGGTGTTCACACTAGTATTTATAATTGGACCTGCTCTCCTTTTGTTTCTACCTTCGTTTGCACAAGCGTGCTTCTTTGGGAATTTACAAGTTAACGAGCCAAAAAAAAGTTAAAATGGTTGGGGGAAAAAAATTGAAAGCTGTTTTTTGTAGACAAGCACCAAAATATAAGTGATTGATTGTTTCTTAATATGGGCCATGCATGATTGTGTTCAACTAACCATAGTTTGGTTTGATTTTATCCCTCAGAGGTCTCTTGGTGGTGTATATTGTGTGAGGGCAAAATGCTATGATTTCATGGGTTTCATAAATGTTTTCCCCTTTTTCCCTCAGAGGTCTCTTGGTGTATAAAAGATAAAGAAATTATTTTTTATTTTTAATTTATATATAAACCATCTTTAAAGTCTTGTTGTAATTAACCACCACACAATCACATTTACTAAAAAAAAAAATTACCCTTAACAACTCAAGTCACGTGGTTCTTTGTGTATTTAGATCTTATTTAGGGTACAACTAACAGCGCAGTCTAAACTTGAATTTTGTAAGCTTGTCTTTGATTTTAGTGAAAATTTGACTGTTGTCTTTGATTTTAGTGAAATTTTGACCAGAGGTGGTTGATTGCAATAAAAATCTTTTAAGATTATAAATTAAAAATGAAATGTGATTTCTGTATAAACACCCTATTTTTAAAGTGGTTTCCTGGAGAGAAAAAAAACCCAAATATAAAATAGACCAATGCTTAATAAGCAAATAAATCAAGTATATGATGATAATATTTGATCCATTTAATAGGAAGAATATCAAACTGATTTATCTTAAGCTTCCACTTCTACCCCATGAAAATGATCAAGACAAGACATAGACTCTTAAAACTCCTATATATAGCAAAGCAAGAAATAACAAAATAAAGAGAAATTAGAAGAGAGAAGAGCAAGAAGAACTGACCTCAGCCTTTAACCTTGGCTTTGCTCATCTCTTGGTTGGGAGATTCGAAAGGAGGAGCAAATAATAACTAATGAACAACAAATATAGAAGGGAGAATGATACGTAGAAATAATTGGCCAAATTTGTTTTCTTAGCCTTCACGATACAAAGGAGATCCTCTGGGAATATTATAATATTCGTTGGAATATTCTGGGTGCCTTCGCCTAGGGGTTAATAATTGATTGGGCCAGATCCGTATCGGCTCCACAACGGGTTAGCGGGTCTGGATATTTAAACCCGTAATCAGAAATTTAGAAAATGGCTGCCGATTTGAAATTAGCTTGCTCTCAATTTCTGGATTAATATTTACCTACAACCACGCATGAAAACAATAAATATGTTTTGTGATTTGGGAATATTGAACGAATTTGAATTTCCAACGAACAAACAACAACGAGGACCACGATGAACATGCTGATTGCACACAATACTGTGAAGTTTCCAGTTTTAATAATTAAATACCACAAGTTGCATTTTGGCACTACAAAATACTATAAAGTTTCTAAAATTTGCATGTTGGTACCATTGATCATGTAAATGTGGAAAGTTTCACCCAAATATTTCCATATGATACTTACTTACATTATCGACGATAAAACATGTAAATTTTAAAAAACTTTATGGTATTTTTAAACCAAAATGTAACTTACAGTATTTAATTGTTAAAATGAGAAACTTTGTGATATTTTTGTGCAATTTAACCTTAAAATTAGTCCTCAAGTCATTGAAACTACCATCAATTCTCCAAATCTTATACGTTGCTACTATTATTCTTAATCGGAGGAATTAATTTGAAACAACTTATAGAAATTAAGAACCTAATAGATTTTAATAATTTGAGGGGATAATTTGAAGGGTTAATTAGATCATTAGTCACTATATTTATATTCTAATTAGACCTTCATGTTAATGTTTTAATTGTTTCAATGACTGGTTATTAAATTACATACTAATTGGATTGTTAGTTCTAATGCTTTTCATAAATTGACATAATGGATTTCAATGACAAGGTACAAAAAGAAATTCTTGATCATTGACATAACAGATTTATTCTTATATGTTATCTTGATCATTTATGGAAATAAAAATTTATGTCATGTTGGATAACTTGTATTTCATAATTATATTGCATTTGGCAGTTTGTTCATGAAAATATTAACTTGTGACGTTTTGATTAAGTTGCATTGCTTTATAATGAATAAAAATATACAACTTAAATTTGACAAAAGACATTAGAAGTGACTAGTGATTCAATTGGCATTTAATTACATGACTAGTCATCCAAACAACTAAACATAGATACAAATGTTCTATTAGGAGGTACATATAGAGACTAACAATCCAATTAACCAAATTTTGAAACAAGTTAGTCACCTAGAACTTAAAATTAGAACTGGGATAATCTGTGGGATAAAATTTTAAGGTGTTAGTCACATAGAACTAAACCTAGAACAAAATTTTAAGGTGTTAGTCACATAGAACTAAAACTAGAATAAAATTTTACAGTGTTAGTCAAGCAGAACTTTAACAAAACTAAAATTGGGATAATTGTACAAAATTATCCCACTTTTTTTATTTTTCTATACAAAAATGAGAGTTCTAGTCTCTCAAATTATTCCAAGTTTTAGCTTGGAACTATGTGGTAAAAAACTAGAACTCGTATTTATTTTGTTATTTTTTATTTTTTTCTTTTACTTATTTCCTGTTATGGTTATCACCATCATTAGACCATCATCATAATAATAATTGTCAATATCTTATAGTCTAACCAAAAGTTATTTAATAGTAGCGAACATTCTTGTAAGCAATTATCAATTAATAATAGTAAGTTTAAAATACATAAATATTATTTATATCTTCAAAATGCATAAATATATACTTCATGATTATAAAAATTTATCTCACGTTATTTTATCAAAATATCCTGCTTCACAAAATTGTTCCTAGTTATCCCACTAAAATATCCCACTAGCGAAATATTATTCCACTTTAATAATTATCCCATTTTACATGAAAATGTCACAATTGACTAACACCCCCTAAGAGAACTGGGGCGCCTAATAAGATTTTCAAAATTTTGAGAGGCTAATTTAAAATATTGAGGATGTAAGGGACTAATGCCGAGAAAACTACATTTTTCAAGAGTTTTGTTGTCCAAACTCTAGCAAGCAAGTTCGGGAAAAATAGTAGGAAATCACTGATCAAAGAACATGTTTCAATACTAAGCTAAATCTAAGTGTCGTTTAACAAGGGGTTAAAAGAGAGGTTAAGAGGAAAGACCAACTTAGTTAACCCTTTACGAGAGGTTAAAAATAATTATTTAATTTCGTTTGAATTTGTCAAGATGAAGGATTAAATTTTCTATGTTTGGCAACGGTTAGGAATATTAATTGCCATAAATATTCTAAATTATATTCTTTTTTTAAGTTTTATTTCTTATTTTCAAAAGGAGTAACTTTTAATCCTCCTTTTGAGGAATTAATTAATTTTAACCCTTCATTAACCCGTTGGCTAAATTAACCTGTTTGGATGGTTAGGGACGGTTTAAACTCCCTTAACTCTTCTCTTAACCCGTTGCCAAACGAGAAGTCATTCTTCGTTCAAAGGTTTAATTAGTCTTTAATCTATTTGCATTTTGTGATTACACATTGAGCTCATGATCCTCTTCTTTCACTTAACTTTTTTCAATGAGAATTTGTGGTTTATTTGAGCTTTTATTACTTGATTAGTCATTAGATTTTACAAAAGGATTTTAAATTGATATGCAAAACTTTACCTCTACTCTTTTCGCATACTTTCCCTTGTTCTCTTAAAATTTTGCAAGAAAATTCAATGGCTGAATGTTTCACATTTTTCTTCTAGGGTTTTGCTCAGGGAGAACTTTCAAGGATTCTTTGGTTTCCCCTATTGGATGAGATTACAGCTAGTTCAGTTCTTTATCCTTCTTCTCATTTATAAACATATATATTGGTATTATTTGATGACCCTGAACAGAGATGACTCTTTAATTAGCAATTGGTTGTTCAATATTTTCTAGATAATATGTGCTATATATGCAAGGGAAAATGATAGAGGCACACTCTTAGGCACACCACCAACCACACTCCCCCCTCTTAGTACAGTACATCGGCCCCACATATAATTTTTATTAAAAAAATCACATGTGAGGCCGCTGCACTATAGCAATAGGGGGGAGCGTGGTTGGTGGTGTGCCTAAGGGTGTACCTGTAGCGCCTCCCGCATGCAAGGCCCTTACTGTTAAACCCCCTTTTTTTGGATAAAAAGAAATAAACTTCCATTCATGAGATTCATGCACCCTGAATCACTTGTGTAAAAAAGAAACATTTGATCTGATTTTATGCGTCCTCAATTACTTTTGTGGAAATGAAGTTCTGAAAAAGGTTTGATATCTCAATGGAAATGTTTGTAACACGTCCATGTTATAGCCTTATAGGTGAAGAATGTTCCTCAAGAACAACATTCTTGAATAAACTGTTCTAGTGGGTTTGAAATTATATGGACTTGTGGCGAAGAGACTCTCACACTTGAAATGTGCAGGGTAAAAATACAACAGCTTATAGTGAACACTTAATTAGAGTAGTTAGAGGTAGCCTCAGCACTCAGCAGTGAATATATCATGGGTAACTTTTTAGCTGGTTTGGGCATTTCTAGATACTGGAAGTTCGCTGGCGTTGAATGACTGAACCGAAGTCGCTTGGTTTTTGCGTACACATGTAGTCATGTTTTGCA